CTGGCTGTTGTTGGGATACGCTGTGTTCCGCCATCTTGGCGAGATATGCTAGGTTGTGCAGGGAAGTTGGAGTGTTTTATGAGCCATACTAGAGGTATGTGATTTAACCCAGTGGAGGCGGGATATCCCCCCCCGGTCCAGAGGGGGGGGGGGGAGCAGTGAGAAGATGGTTGGGTCTGTGTTACACAGAGCAGGAGAGCGGCCACCTCTCCTGCCTGATGCCTGCACTAGGCCTCGTCTGAATTTTCAGGAGCAACAATCAGTTAGAGGTTTGTGGGATCGCCCAAGACACCCCGCTGTATTCAGGAAGCAGGTAAGTCTCAAAGGGTGCTGTCGGTGAGTACTCAAGATCTGTGGTCAGTCAGGATTAAATTAATAGCGGAGGAGCAGACTCGAGATGTGTGCTGCCACCATGAAGCCCAGGCTCCACCTGTGTTATCTCTGTTGTTGAACGAGAACAGGTAGCAAAATAAAGATCAAACAGACGCAGATTTATTGGACAGAAACAAGCGATATTTCAAGTCCTGAGAAAAATCCATGTGTGGGTTTAAATGTTGCTGGTTTGTTACCAAAAACTCTTTATAGCTGAAACTGTGTAATGTTTGATCTTTATTTTGCTGACTACGTAATTTGGAGTTTACAGCACAAGATCGTTATAGCAACAATTGCCTTGTCCCCCCCACAAGTAGCTCTATCACTGAGAGGGTAGCAGCAGATCTACTGGTGAGAGGTAACAGAGAGGGGTAAGAGTAATGGGTAACAATGAGCAGTAACAGTGAGGGGTAACAGTGTGAAGTAACAGTGAGCAGCAACACAGAGCAGGAAGAGTGATGCATAACAGTGGTCAGGGCCGCCATCAGGGGGTGACAACCATGACGGTTGTCACGGGCCCGGCGGTCCTGGGGGGCCTGGACTGCACTGCTAATGCTCTGCAAATCCGGGCCACCAGCCCTTCAATGTGCATATACATACACACATTATAATATATATATATACCTTCTGCAAGGTAGACTATGGAGGAAACTATCTACCCTTAATACTGGACACTATAATTGTATTGAATTTGAACCCCTTGCATATTTTTAAACTATATATCTCTAACCACCATTTCTTTGTCATTGTATCTTAACTGGACGTGCTTGCTCTTTAGTGTGTGTGTGTGTGTATGTATATATGTATATGTATGTATATATATATATATATATATATATAAAATATATTTATATGTGTGTGTGTGTGTTTTCTCATACACACATATATTCTGCAGTTTGTCTTGTCCTGCATGCTAAAGCTAGTTGCTCCCTGCCCTGCTCAACATTGGTTTTGTTAACTTAAATGTTATTCAACATCCTGCTTATCTCTAAAGATTTTCTCTGTTATTTCTTCTCCCCCCCCCCTTATTTTATTGATACCCACCCGAATGTCTTGCTTGACCAATCCTCACCTCCTCTGTGCATCTCCATTGCATAGCTTTTATTGCAGTCCTGTTTTGACCCTATCATCTCTGTCTTCCACAGTCTGAGTTTTAAAAGACCACTTCTAGCAAACCTGAACAGTGCTCAGATTCCCGCCCACCCCTCCCCTCACCACCCCACCCCAAGTTCCTTACTACATTTATAGATAGAATCCCACACACAACTTTAGTTAATTCCAAATAGCAGCTGCAAACACTACCCATAATGAGCACAATCCACCTTCTTAACCCCTAACACTCACTCCCTCTCCTCCCTTATGCTCATTCTCCTTCCCTCTAATTACCTACCTATCAGAGCAATGCTCTATATTCTCCTCCTCTCCTTCTCTCTCATCTCCCTAAGGATCAAAATATCCCCTTCCACCCACTTCCCTCAACAAAACATTAACATTTACATTAATCCCTCTCTGCTACACTCCCCCCTTCTCTCATCTCAAGCCCTGCACTCATTTCTCTATTCTCTCTCTCCTGCTCTAACCTAATCTCACCCTAGTCGCCGCCCATATAAAACCCACTCACACCTCCTGTCTCTATCTCTCCTCCTACTTCTGGCAGCTGGTGACGTCTCTCCCAACCCAGGGCCCCTTACCTCATCTGCTCACACTAAAATAACCAGAAACCATGCAAACCTCCTCCAAATACCCTGCAGTCTATCCTCCTCTACCAAAATTCAGTGTGCACTCTGGAATGCTCGCTCCATTTGTAGTAATATCAAATCTACAGCAATACATGACCTCCTCATCTCTAACTCTCTCACAATACTGGCACTCACTGAGACCTGGCTATCTCCATCCGATACCGCTACTCCTGCTTCTTTATGTTTCAGTGGTCTACAGTTCTCCCATACTCCTAGACTTGACTGTAAAGGAGGTGGTGTCGGCATCCTTCTCTCCCCTCAATGTACCTTTCAACCTATCCTCCCTGCAGCTGCCCTATCCTTTACTTCCTTTGAAGTTCACACTGTATGCCTTTTTAAGCCCACTCCTTTAAGAATTGCCATCATCTATCGCCCCCCCGGTCACCCTAAACTATTAATTGAACACTTTTCCTCCTGGTTACCCCACTTTCTTTCCTCTAGCACTCCCTCTCTCATACTTGGGGACTTCAATATCCCTATCAACAAGCTCAATTGCCCTGATGCCTCTCGTCTGCTCTCTGTAACCTCCTCCTTTGGACTCACACAGATTTCTTCCTCAGCAACTCACACTGCAGGAAACACTCTTGACCTCATCTTCACCAATCTCTGTACTACCTCTGATCTCGCCACTGCTCCATTTCCTTTGTCTGACCACCATCTGCTAACATTTAACATCTGCATACCCCATACCAAAATCTCACCACCGTCCACTCTCCAACCTCGCAGAAACCTCAACTCTCTCGATCTCCAGCACTTCTCCACTAAACTCCAAACACTCCTTTTACCCATCTCAAATCACAACTGCCCTAACTCTGCAACCTCACTCTACAACTCCACTCTCTCCTCTCAACTTGACATCATGGCACCTCCTACAGTTAAACGCAGCAAGCGCCCCCAACTACAACCCTGGCACACCAAGCTGACCCGTTACCTCCAAAAATGTTCCAGAACTGCTGAACGCTGCTGGAGAAAGTCTCACTTTGCATCTAACTTTGTCCACTATAAATTTATGCTGCGCTCCTACAGCATGGCTCTTTCCTCTGCAAAAGTAAGCTACTTCAACACCCTCATAAGCACACTGTCCCACCAACCCAAACACCTGTTTCACACTTTTGATGCACTTCTTCACCCTGTGACTCCCCCTCCTTCCACCACCTTGTCCGCCACAAACTTTGCATCTCATTTCACTGAGAAGATCTCTACAATCAGGAAAGAGATCTCTAATCTTTCTCCGACCAGTATCAATACATCACCCAACCCCACTCCCCCTGTCATCCTAAGCTCATTTGCACCTGCTACAGCACAAGAGGTTTCTGCTCTGCTCCTGTCCTCCCGCCCCACCACCTGCTCCCTCGATCCTATTCCCTCGCATCTCATCCGCACTTTGTCTCCCTCTCTTGCTCTTCCTCTCGCTAACATTTTCAATCTCTCCCTTTCCTCTGGCACATTTCCCTCTGCCTTCAAACATGCAACCGTAACCCCAATTCTGAAAAAGCCCAACCTCGATCCCAACTCCCCATCCAACTACCGCCCTATCTCGCTACTGCCATTTGCCTCCAAGATCCTCGAGAGAGTTGTCTACGCCAGATTGACAGACTTTCTTGAATCCAACTCTCTGCTTGACCCCCTTCAGTCTGGATTCCGCGCTGGTCACTCTGTCGAAACTGCTGTGACCAAAGTATCCAACGATTTAATTGCTGCTAAATCTCGCGGCCAATACTCTATCCTAATCCTCCTTGATCTCTCTGCCGCCTTTGACACTGTTGATCATCAACAGCTTCTTCACATTCTCCGTAACTTTGGTCTACGGGATTCTGCTCTCTCCTGGTGCTCCTCCTACCTCTCCCAGCGCTCCTTCAGTGTTTCTTTCTCTGGCTCTGCCTCTTCTCCCCAACCCCTCCCTGTCGGCATCCCCCAAGGTTCTGCCCTCGGCCCCCTACTGTTCTATCTATACTGCCTCCCTTGGTAAACTCATCAGCTCTTTTGGCGTCCAATACCATTTATATGCAGATGACACGCAAATCTACCTGTCCTCCCCTGATCTCTCTCCGCCCACCTTGACTCGTGTTTCTGACTGCCTCTCTGCTATTTCCAACTGGATGGCTGCTCACTTCCTTAAACTCAACCTGTCCAAAACAGAACTTCTAGTTTTTCCTCCCTCAAGTGCTGCTACTCCTGTGTCTGTCGCCATCCAAGTCAACGGCGCTACTATCACCTCTACCTCCCAGGCTCGCTGCCTAGGAGTTCTTTTTGATTCTGATCTCTCTTTTACTCCCCATGTTCAATCGATAGCCAAATCCTGTCGCTTCCAACTCAAGAACATAGCGCGCATCCGCCCATATCTAACGCCGGACGCGGCTAAGGTACTGGTTCATGCTGTTGTTCTCTCTCGCCTTGACTATTGCAATCCCCTTCTCACCGGTCTTACATGTTCCCAGCTTGCACCGCTGCAATCTATAATGAATACGGCTGCGAGGCTTATTTTCCTGTCCGGTCGCACCTCCCACGCCTCCACGCTCTGTCAGTCCCTGCATTGGCTTCCAGTTAGATATAGGGCCCAATTCAAAATTCTGGCGCTTGCTTACAAATCCCTACGTAATGCTGCTCCAACATACCTATCTTCCCTCTGTGGTGTATCACCAAATTAATATATATACTACACAAGGTTCGTCTACATTAAAAGGTATTTATTAAAAGGCAACAACACAATACTATAAATGTATCACAAACACACAGCTCAGACCCACGGAGCAACAACCCTTTTTAAATCTATCTATGTATATAGTAACCCCTTACACACACGCTTGATCTCACCCACGGTTAGGCCTTCACATCTAGTAATGGCTCACTGCTGCAAGTTCAACATCACATCCACCAAGGAAGAAAAGGAAGCAACAGAGTGTAACATGGTTCACCATGCTAGCCCATGGCGTCTGCACATCTGCTCTGCAGCACAGCCAAGAAGGAACAGAGAGGAATGGAGAAAGGGGAAGTGGTTATCTCTTTCCTGACTTGTAAAGGTATTGAATTACCAATTAACATTTCAAAAGGGTAAAGCTTATCCCACTGTAAGAAAAGCAAACATGAGCTTGGTCACATGACCCCTGGTCACCATATTAGTTTGATGACAGAATGTCACCACATTCCCTCACTTTTTCTTCTCTTATGTTGAGCACATTTATTTATCCCTTCTATCTAAACTATGAGATCTGAAGTAGGAAAGGGGAGCACAGGAATTATAGTGAGTGATATAAGCAGGGTGAAAGAAAACAGTCAAATAGGGTTGCATCACCCCACATTCCCCCACTTTTTCTTCTTTTATGTTGCTCCGTTATCTAGTTATCCCTCTAGTACAGGAAAACCTAGTGGGAGCAAAAACCTGATATACAGGAGAAATTCAACCCACCATCCCTCCGGAATAGTTCCCTCAGCGACATAAGTTCTCCTGTACTTTCCTATGGCTGTCAATTCACGTTATACAAAGTGTCACAAAAAAACAGAACTTATAGAATGTAGGTGAGAGTGTGTGTGTGCAATGTAAAATGTGTGTGAGAGAGAGAGAGAGAGAGAAACAAAAAAGAAACAAACAAACAAAAAAAAAATATCCCCCTTTTCAAGTTTCTTCCTCATCTATTTCATTGCCACACAAAAGTATACTAGCGGCAAAGTTTGTAGGACTGGATGTGGTATTTGCAGAATTCCATACTTTCAATCCAGTTCCGACTCCTCCCAGTAGAGCTGTAAATTGTCCCATTTTTCCTGACACCCTGCTTTGCCTAAAACACTGTCGCCGTTGTTCCGGACACCTTGGAGGAATAGAAGGATTATTAAAATATAGACTGTAAACTTTTCCCTTATTTGGAGTATCTTCTGGCCGTATTGCCTGTCTCCCATCCCTACTGTGATACAGCGTATACTTATCCATCCTGTAACAAGGATCCACTACGATCTTCTGTTGACACACATCATCATCCTAATACAGCTTTGCCTTGCTCTGTGGGAACACTAGATCTCATCATTAGAAAGGAATAGCTAAATGGGAGACTGGAAGACTGAGAGAAAGAACAAAACAAAAGAAAAACAGACATACATACGGATGTAGAGAGCAACACAAAATTATGAGTGTTATTGATTGCTGGGACCCCCCAATTGGTCAATCTTTTCCTCCTCTCTCAACTGTTCCCTCAGCGCTTTCACGTCTGCCTCCAATCTTTCAGTCTGTCTCTTTAGGTCCCAGTATTCTCTATTCCCTTCTTTATTCCTCCAATTATCCCAATTCCGTCTATTGGTCTGATGATCATCCCATCTATGGTTCCTTCTCCAATTATTCTCCCAATAACTGTTCCTGTTGTTTCTCTGTTTTTCTCCCCAATTGTGATTTTCCCAGTTAATATCTGTCCTTTTTAGCCTCTCCCAGGTATTTTTATTATTCCAATTATTATTGATTACCTTATGCCCCTCCCATCTATTCCTCCAGTTATCTCCCATTACATTACTTCCTTTAGAACTGTCCCTATTCCTATGGTCCCTCTGTGGATCTCTCCATCTTTTGTCAAAGTCCTGTTTTGGTCTCCAGTTCTCATTATCCCTCTTGCTCTGGGGTACATCCCACCTCTGGCTTCTCCATTTACCATCTAAATCTCTACCAGAGTCAACCTTGAATGTTCTTGTGGATGAAACAGGGAAGGCCTGTTCTGAGAAAGGATGCTTGATCCACCAATTGTCCGCTCTAGTTAGTACCATTTCTAAGTCTGCTGGTGTTGGATCAAAAAGCCTGACAAATTCTTGACACTCCCAGGGAAGGGCTTCCATTACTTTAGTAATATGTTGTGGTGAGCCCAAGACCAGAGGCTGTTGAGGTTGGCGTAGTGTATACCAGAACAATATCCTTTGAGCTACCTCTCTAGGACCATCTGCTGGCCTCATCGTAATATTCGCTATTTCTTTCTCTATGCTGAGTAGATAGAAATTAGTTTCAGCAATTCTTCCTGCCTGATCAGACACACTGTTATTAAATCCACATAGTCTGCTAGCCAAAGGACCCATAGCATATTCTAAAAGTTCTGTCCATTCCTCTAAGTTTAAACCTTCTTTTTTAGCTCTATTTGCTCCCCTCATAAACCAGTGTGTAAAAGTATTAAAGTTGTTATTTGGCATACTTCCCCACCATTTCTGGAAATTTTCTTTGTCTGTGATTGACATAATGCTTGTCTGTCTAGAGAAACTAGTAGGCATTTCTCTTGCATTAAAGTGTTCAGTTATTATTAAAGGGGCTTGTGGGACACAGTTAACAACCGGCGCATTTCCCTTGTGTTTGGTTCCGAGCACTGGTTCTGTACCTTTAGATATAGAATGAGACTGGCATGGGCATACTTTAGGAATCTCCTTATCCCATTTATTTATGTTTTCTTTAGTTTTCATTTTATATTCCATAACTAGGTTTTGGAGTTCAGTGATCTTAGCACTATATTCATCTCTCTGTTGTTCTGTTTCCTTTAATTCCTTCTCCAACCCCTCGATCATTTTGTTTGTTCTTAGGGCAGCTATTTTAAAACAATCTCTTTCATCAAGAGCATCTTCCATTTTATTAGTGGTTACTAAATTAGCTTGCTGCAATTCGAGTACCATGCTTGCCAAACCCCCTATTGCAGCAACAACTGCTTGTGCCACCAAGCTTTTCCTTTTCTTAATATGGCACTTTTTATTAGTAACAATCTGTGTCAAAACATCCATGAAACATTCATATTTTCCACAATTGGGGCCTGCTGGTTCTGGAAGCTCATATGGTCCATCATGTTTGTCAATGTCATTCCTAAAGTACTCTAGTACTTCTGCAGAAAAATACTTAGTACCTAGATATGACATTTTAAAACCGAGCTCTCCCTAGGTCTTTAATCGAAATAGACCAGCAGACTAAGGGGAAAAAAAACAACACGCTTTTAACAATGGGATTAATTTAAAAAAACCTGAAACTGGCTCCCAAGAGATTGAACCATTTGAGAAACTTAATTACATTAACCTATTCAAACAAACTCTTGTCTTTTAAGAAAAAAACTTCACAGTCTCAATACAACAAATGCCCACAGGCAGCAAAACACAAAACCACCCTTCTGTCTTTGTTTAAGTGCAGTATGGGGGGTCTACAAATAAACAGAATGATTTAAAGGAAGGTATGGGAACTGGAAAATACCTGACTGTAACTTCAGCACAATGATAATTCCCAACCATATAACAATCTAACATAGGCACCTTTACCTCAAATACAAACTGTTCATTTTCTATTAAACACACTCCAGTGTAAAAATGTAGCCTGGCTAAACAATAGCCACCACACTGTATTAGCCCCAATACCTTTATCATGTAAACACAATGCTCCTACCTAGAATTCAATGGTTCAAACAGACAAAAGATAATCCCCCAAAAAAACTGTTTGCTATTTAAACTCAGAATGCAGGGAAGCCACAAAATGTATAAAATGTAACATCTAAAAACAATTACAATATATTCAGTTTAGTTCTAGTTAGTTGCAACAGGAAAGAGACAATACAGCACATGGGCTATTAAAAATGGCCGAAACATCAATAGTACCAATGCAGTGCAACTATTCAATCTTCCCCTTTAATCACCAATACTTTAAAAATACTAGGCCTGAGCTATGGTAGTCAAAACACAACAAACTCAGGTATTTGAAACACACAAAAAAACTAATATATTCAAAATTGAGGCCTGATGCCCAAGCTTGTAAATTAAAATGGAGGTCTGCACTATGATACAAAGGAATCAAATTAGCATTCAAATACAAAAAGAAGCCGCATGGAAGCCTACTCTAGTGTATTCAAATGCAGGGCTAGGCCTGTACTCTGATAGTCAAAGCACAACAAAACTCAACTCAGATATTTGAAACACACAAAAAAACTAATATATTCAAAATTGAGGCCTGATGCCCAAGCTTGTATATTAAAATGGAGGCCCAAACTAGACTCCACACACAATCAGTCCTTGATTTCCCATGCAGAGGATAATTAAACAAAGTACTTTTTTTTTTTTCTCCCCCAAACAATAAATCTGACTATCTATTACTGTGTTATTACCTCATAAATAACCTTTGTAGAAGTCTAAAATTCGTGGTCGCCAAATGTGGTGTATCACCAAATTAATATATATACTACACAAGGTTCGTCTACATTAAAAGGTATTTATTAAAAGGCAACAACACAATACTATAAATGTATCACAAACACACAGCCCAGACCCACGGAGCAACAACCCTTTTTAAATCTATCTATGTATATAGTAACCCCTTACACACACGCTTGATCTCACCCACGGTTAGGCCTTCACATCTAGTAATGGCTCACTGCTGCAAGTTCAACATCACATCCACCAAGGAAGAAAAGGAAGCAACAGAGTGTAACATGGTTCACCATGCTAGCCCATGGCGTCTGCACATCTGCTCTGCAGCACAGCCAAGAAGGAACAGAGAGGAATGGAGAAAGGGGAAGTGGTTATCTCTTTCCTGACTTGTAAAGGTATTGAATTACCAATTAACATTTCAAAAGGGTAAAGCTTATCCCACTGTAAGAAAAGCAAACATGAGCTTGGTCACATGACCCCTGGTCACCATATTAGTTTGATGACAGAATGTCACCACACCCTCATACACAAGTATGTCCCGACGAGACCCCTGCGCTCAGCCCAAGACCTACTCCTATCCTCTGCCCGGAACCCCACCTCTGATGCTCGCCTTCAAGACTTCTCCAGGGCTGCACCTATTCTGTGGAACTCCCTTCCCTCCCCAATCAGACTTTCACCCAGCCTCCATTCCTTCAAAAAATCTTTGAAAACTCACTTCTTTATTAAAGCGTATCAATTAAACTGTCAGCAGGTTTCTCATCCCCCACCCCATGACTCCGTTCCTTCACCTGTCAAAAATGACCTACCAAGCACTCAATAAACCCTTCTGTAACAAACTATTTAATTCCCCTACTTTAACCCTTTGTGTCACTATACCCCACTCCCTCTAGCATGTAAGCTCATCGAGCAGGGCCCTCAACCCCCTCTGTTCCTGTACGTCAGTGGTCTGATCTCAATTATGTGTCTGTTAGTCCACCCAGCGCTACGGAATTTGTTGGCGCTATATAAATAATAAAATAATAATAATAATAATAATAATAATAATAATATACACACACCTCTGCGGGCCCTTCTGTCTTCACACTCACCTCCCACTGGTGGCAACGCTCCGCAGCACGCAATGCATGCCGGGCTCATTACAGAAGTAAAGCCTGGAAGGGAGAGATGAAGACTGCAGGGCCCTTTTGTAGAGTCTGAAGGGGAAATATGAAGACTGGACCAACTGCTGAGCCTCCGACTGGACCACCAGTGAATCCAGTGTCCCCCCTCCCTGGCTACAGGTAAGAGTCAGGGAGGGGGGAATACTTTTTAAGTTTTTTATCAAAATTGAAAGGAAAACAAAAATATACCCTCACTGCATTTATCAAACATATCAACACATTC